ATTAGGCCTGGAAAAAAAATCAGGCCGAATTTTTTGCGTTCGACAAGTTTACTTTACAAAATCTTGCCAGCAAATCTGGGTGCGCGTAAACCAACCTTTTATACAATTTAAACATCAAATCTGAGGTCAACAAAACTACGAGGCACTGTTTCTACAGGGGCACCCAACGAGAATATAGTTCAAAACCACTTAAACATAGCATTGTTAAACGTGTTTTAGTATTTAAACGGTGGATATGGGCATATTTTTATCCCCTATAAATTTTTCATCTGTTCGGATTTCTTAGCTGAAAATCTAGTGATCCGAAAATTATAGGGATCAAAACTTACCTGTTCGAAAATTTCAGCCAGAAAAAAGGCTTCCGAAAATTCTAGGTGACCTTTTTAGGGTGAAAATCCGTTGAAAATGGGCAATTTTACCATTTCTTAGATGTTCGAAAATCCTAGGAGAGGCAGGCAAGTAATAAATTTTACAACAAATGTTCCGAAAATTCTAGATCTCAAATTGTCTTCCGAACAGATATTTTTCCGAAAATTGTCGTTGGGTGCCCCTGTTTCTATCATACAGACCTCGGACAGAATGCAGTATTTCACAATTTTGCAATGCAAAGTGCACTCATTCAATATTCAGGACGATCGATCGAAGCACGCGTGGGCTTTTAGCTAAACAGTTAAAAAAATTTCCAAAATCACCTAGTATATATGGCCAGCCGGTTCTCACTTTTGCAGAGCGAGCTGTGTTTGTGTTTGAATGAACATTAACAGAGTTACGCTTCAACATAATAAAGAATTTTTATTTAATTGTCTTATCGATGTGTAATCTTTAAAAGCGTTTGATACGCGCGACATTTTGAGTACCTCTTGCAAGCGATGTTCACTGAACGACTGAAAACAAACGGCTCAGCGATTAAAATTACAAGAGAGACCACTAACAATCACTAAATGAAAGATAATTCGGCGAAACATATACAGAGACAACAATTTTCATTCACGCAGACAATTTAGTATTAAAGTTTCCCTAATCCTGAGTCTTCAAGCTTAAAGCTTAGGAGGCCCGGCGCCACTGGTAAGTGGCTATCCTGTTATGACAGCTGTCAATTGACCATTTTGTGAATGTCCAATATACGAGACGTGGACCTGCCAAGACACGCCTGAGACACCACTCCCTCCCTTTTGATAGTCTCCCCTACCCCACCCTTACAATCTGCAGACGCGTACGTACGTACGCTCAGTCAACTACGTGACAACCAAACGAAAAGAGGTTGACCATATTCTATGAGTATGGGGCCCCGCTATAAATTGAGTCTCAAACAAAGAAAATGTAGCTTGCTGCTATAATAGTTTGACTTTTGTGGTTCTTAGTTTGGCGCGCGGAAACTCGTTTAGGATTTCGTTATTTATTCGAAAGTAGACGATTCAGCTAGCAGAGTTTTAATGCCAGAAAATGTTTATTAGTCCTCAAAATAGCATGAGCATAATTTCACCGAATTAATTTACAAAATATACCTACTTTCCAGCTAACCTGCAAGGAAAGAAGGACCAACTGATCGCAGGTTACTTCAAATCCAGCTAAAGCAATTTCAATGGAGTAGAAACGGATGGTGTGGCAAAATAGGCTTCCTATAAATTCTTTGCAATTCTTTAAGGCCATTTTAAAATTCGCTTCGATTGCTTAAAGAGCTCTACAAGCCTACACTCCTGTTTATATCATGTCTACATAATTCATTTAATGGTATTTGGAAACATTTTGGAACCACAGAGACGACGTTCTAGCTGGTTGAAAATTTGTGTTGTCTAATGTCTTCTGTGATATAGGTGGAAATGTCTTACCTGCTAGGTGGAGAAGTGACTCTTGTGTTTCCAAATTGCGCACTAAATAGTATGTCTTCAGTAGCGTCAACCGTTTTATGACCAAGTTACAGCCCACTGACTAGGGGCTTTCCAATGAGTCAGGACTGTCAATCCAAAACCAACGTAAGTGCAACATCTGACCAATAAAAGAACATCTTTTAAACCGAATGAAGCAATCAGATCGGCAAATACATGTAGCTGACTTATAGCGCGGAATAATCAGTTAAGGAGCCAACCATTTGACTTTTAAGGGGGAGTAGGGGGGAGGGGTTATGAGTCTCAAAACCTCTGGTGAAAGAATTTTTTCCGGAAATACAAGAGAGTAAGATTTTTTTTCCAGCATTATACGTCATGAAAGAAATTATTTTTCAGTGTAGGAATTTTTTATGAGCAAGGTAAGAGATTTTTTCCCTCGAAATCAGTCTGCAGGATATTCTTTTCTGAAGTCACCCATAGCCCCCCTCAAAAGTCAAATGCTCGGCCACAAAGCTAGTCACGAGTTGTTTTGGCTGTCATCTTATTGGTTTAGAAAATGGCGCGAGAACCCCAGTCAAGCCGGCTGTGTGACGTTTGGTCCATATTATGTAATGTACATTGCAAATGTCTTTAAGCCTCCCATCGTTTGAATATCTTAAATTCTGGTATGCTTAAACTTATGCTCACGGGGTAATACTCGACCAATTTTAAGGCATAGGTGAGCCACTGAGGGTTTGAAACCCTGACTCTGTTTAGGACCAAAAAATTCCTAACATACACACCCTGTTTAGGACAACATCCTAGATTTTTAATTACGCTGTTTGGGACAAGGACAAAATGCACGCCAGAGCAAATTCACGTCACAGTCATTGCTTTTCTATACTTGGAGTTCAAACAAAATTCATCCAGAAAATCAAATCAATCGTGCAGGCAATACCCTGTTGACAGTATCAAACGAATTTATATGCCCTGTTTAGGACAGACACACAGTAAATTATACCCCGTTTAGGGCAGAGAGGTCAAAGACCATGCCCTGTCCAGCGGCACATCCCCGTATGGGCCATATAAGAGAGTTACCCCTTGGGCTTGAGCTGTGATGTCACGGCGGCCATATTGGTGTTCCAAAACAATGAAACAGCGGCCATGTTGGTGTTCCAAACCAGTCCTCTGGGAGTTGAACTCTTTTCAAATGCAAACACTTTCTTTTGTTCCAATAAATTTGCATAGATGCTGGCCACGTGAGTGGAAACGCTCTATTCGCCTAATCAAATTCAACAGCGCGAGCGTACTACAATGATTCCCATTGAGCACGCTGATGAAGTCAATAAACTACTGACCTAGAGTTCTTGTGAGCTTCGCAGTCCTCCCAAGACGTCTCCCAATTGCCTGAGCGAGTTGCCTGAACCCCTGGACAGGCTTCCTTAAAAGCGTTTTTGTTGTTCTCGTCTTTTTTCCTTCGCTTTATCCTTTTGGCCATTTTTGCTGAGGTGATTTCCCCTATTTATCTCGCTTCTCACCCTTTTAAAACTCCCACCTCCCGTACCTTTCTGACCCCCTATTCTTCCGTTCCCAACCCCCTTTTCCAGTAAGAGGCCGGAAACAACCCCTTGCGTGAGTAAAA